TTCTTCTTCCTTTCTTCTTCTTCTTCTTCTTCTTCTTTCTTCCTTTCTTCTTCTTCTTCTTCTTCTTCTTCTTCTTCTTCTTCTTCTTCTTCTTCTTCTTCTTTTTTCTTCTTCTTCTTCTTTTTCTTCTTCTTCTTCTTCTTCTTCTTCCTTTTCTTCTTCTTCTTTGCTTCTTCTTCTTCTTTCTTCTTCTTCTTCTTCTTCTTCTTCTTCTTCTTCTTCTTCTTCTTCTTCTTCTTCTTCTTCTTCTTCTTCTTCTTCTTCTTCTTCTTCTTCTTCTTCTTCTTCTTCTTCTTTTTCTTTCTTCTTCTTTCTTCTTCTTCTTCTTCTTCTTCTTCTTCTTCTTCTTCTTCTTCTTCTTCTTCTTCTTCTTCTTCTTCTTCTTCTTCTTCTTCTTCTTCTTCTTCTTCTTCTTCTTCTTCTTCTTCTTCTTCTTCTTCTTCTTCTTCTTCTTCTTCTTCTTCTTCTTCTTCTTCTTCTTCTTCTTCTTCTTCTTCTTCTTCTTCTTCTTCTTCTTCTTCTTCTTCTTCTTCTTCTTTACACAGTGACTGATGATGACAGTGACGTAATCAGTGACGTCAGAGTTTGTTTACCTCGATGAATTATTGCAGTAGGTAGAACACGTAAATTATGACGTCACTACAGCGATGCATTGTGGGTAATAAAGATGGCTGACAACAGAACACTTCGTAAACAAGAATATTATGTTTGTGTTTTTTTTAATGTTTAAATATTGGTTTGATTCAACCTTTATTCAACATTTCGTCAACATATCGTCAACATTTCACTCCTCAGCGTGTGTAAAACCGTCGAGTACTTGTTGAGTGTGTAACGTGTAGGGTCCTTACCTCGTGGTGGCTAGAGAGAGAGAGAGAGAGAGAGAGACTCATCTTTGGTTCGTTTATTTTCATCTCGTGTCTCCTCTCACCTGCACCCCCCTCCCCGCTTCCGAGTGTCCCGTGGGCGTGGTTCACTGTCTGGGATGTCATAATGGGCGTGGTCTACTGTCTAGGATGTCATAATGGGCGTGGTCTACTGTCTGGGATGTCATTATGGGCGTGGTTCACTGTCTGGGATGTCATAATGGGCGTGGTCTACTGTCTTCGATGTGATAATGGGCGTGGATCACTGTCTGCGATGTGATAACGGGCGTGGTCTACTGTCTGGGATGTCATAATGGGCGTGGTCTACTGTCTGGGATGTCATTATGGGCGTGGTTGACTGTCTGGGATGTCATTATGGGCGTGGTTGACTGTCTTCGATGTGATAATGGGCGTGGTCTATTGTCTGGGATGTCATAATGGGCGTGCTACTGTCTGGGATGTCATAATGGGCGTGGTTAACTGGCACCGCCGCGACGCCACCAGTGCGGTAGGTTACAGTGGTGGAGCCGTCACTGTCGCCTTTGTGTGGAAGACAGTGATTCTCTAGTGCCGGACACCTAACCTAACCCTAACCAAACCTATCCTCTGTCTAATGCCGGAAACCTCTCTACCTAACCTACCTAACCTAACCTAGCCTAACCTAACCTAACCTTCACCTAACCTACCTAACCTACCCTACCCTACATAACCTAACCTAACCTAACCTGCCCTACCCTCCCTAACCTACCCTACCCTACCCCTCCCTACCCTAACCAACCCTACCCTAACCCTAACCTAACCTACCACCCCTACCTACCCTGCCTACCTAACCTAACCTAACCCTAACCCCTAAGCTTCTAACTTCTAACCCCTAACCCTACCTACCCTTAACCTAACCTAACCCCTAACCTACCCTACCCTACCCTACCCTACCCTAACCAACCCAACCCTACCTAACCCCTAACCTAACCTAACTAACTAACCCTAACCCTAACCTAACCTAACGTGGGTTTAGCTAAAAAAAAATCGGGTCTAGGTTTAGGTATTGATGGCTCCTGTTGGCACTGTTTCGGCACCTAGGCGTGTTGGTAGGAGGGCCTAAGACACAAGTTGTAGACATGGCCTGGCTCTCGGTGTTGTCGGGTGCCACCAGATTTTGTGGCACTAGTAGAGGTGTGGCACTATCATACATGGCACTAGTAGAGATGTGGCACTATCATACACATGGCACTAGAGGTGTGCTTCTCACATACAGAAGGCACTAGAGATGTGGCACTATCATACACATGGCACTAGTAGAGGTGTGTGGCACTATCATACACATGGCACTAGAATGTGGCACTATCATACACATGGCACTAGAGGTGTGGCACTATCATACACATGGCACTAGAGATGTGGCACTATCATACACATGGCACTAGAGATGTGGCACTATCATACACAGCACTAGTAGAGATGTGACCTCACATACATGGCACTAGTAGAGATGTGGCACTATCATACCTGGCACTAGAGATGTGGCACTATCATACACATGGCACTAGTAGAATGGCACTATCATACACATGGCACTAGTAGAGGTGTGGCACTATCATACAGAAGGCACTAGAGATGTGGCACTATCATACAGAAGGCACTGAGATGTGGCTCATACACATGGCACTAGAGATGTGGCACTGTCATACACATGGCACTAGAGATGTGGCACTATCATACACATGGCACTAGTAGAGAGTGGCACTATCATACACATGGCACTAGAGATGTGGCACTATCATACACATGGCACTAGAGATGTGGCACTATCATACACATGGCACAGAGATGTGGCACTATCATACACATGGCACTAGTAGAGATGTGGCACTATCATACATAGCACTAGTAGAGATGTGGCACTATCATACACATGGCACTAGAGATGTGGCACTATCATACATGGCACTAGTAGAGATGTGGCACTATCATACACATGGCACTAGTAGAGGTGTGGCACTATCATACAGAAGGCACTAGAGATGGCACTATCATACAGAAGGCACTAGAGATGTGGCACTATCATACACATGGCACTAGAGATGTGCACTATCATACACATGGCACTAGAGATGTGGCACTATCATACACATGGCACAGAGATGTGGCACTATCATACACATGGCACTAGAGATGTGGCACTATCATACACATGGCACTAGTAGAGATGTGGCACTATCATACACATGGCACTGAGATGTGGCACTATCATATACATGGCACTAGAGATGTGGCACTTATACACATGGCACTAGAGATGTGGCACAATCATACACATGGCACTAGAGATGTGGCACTATCATACACATGGCACTAGTAGAGATGTGGCACTATCATACACATGGCACTAGAGATGTGGCACCATCATACACATGGCACTAGTAGAGATGTGTCACTATCATACACATGGCACTAGTAGAGATGTGTCACCAATATACAGACGCCTGGCACTACCACCACTATCAAAACAAACAAGTGAGGGCCAGTAGACAAGGGTGCCACACTCACGGGACGACAGACTAAAAAAAGGAAGTGGCACTTGAGGGCGTGAGTGAGGGGCCACACTCAGAGGAGGACTAGTATAATGTGTCTCAGGGAACACACAGAGAGTAGCACAGAGCCTCAAGATCTCCTCCTCCTTCTCCTCTTCTTCATCCTCCTCCTCCTCTTCATCCTCCTGCTCTTATCCTCCTCCTCCTCTTCATCCTCCTCCTCTTATCCTCTTCCCCCTCCCCCTCCTCCTTCCCATTCTGCTTCAACATGCCCATTGTGTCCACCTGTAGTGGCAGAGTGAGGAAGAGGACGAGAAGAGGAAGAAGAAGGGGAAGAAGAAGGGGAAGAAGAAGGGGAAGAAGAAGAGAAGAAGAAGGGGAAGAAGAAGGGGAAGAAGAAGAGGAGAAAGAGGAAGAAAGATTGTGGCTCATTGTGGGCCTCTAACCTAACCTAACCTGGTGAAGGAGGGCGTGAGGGCGTGGTGGGGGAGGGAGGGCGTGGTGGGGCGTGTGTCTGGTCTGGTTCGCCGACTGTGTCCTTACCTATTTACTTTAAAGTTTCCCTCGCCCACCCACACCCACCCACACCCTCCCTCGCCCACCCACACCCTCCCTCGCCCACCCACACTCTGTACTCACCCTCCCTCGCCTCCACCCACCCTCCCTACCCTCACCCGGGGACCTGGTGAGGGGGTGGCGTATTGGAGAGGTTCCTGAATGTAATTGTCTCCAAGAGGGTGGTGAGGGAGGTGTGTGGGTAGTGAGGGAGGTGAGTGGGTGGTGAGGGAGGTGTGTGGGTGGTGAGGGAGGTGTGTGGGTAGTGAGGGAGGTGAGTGGGTGGTGAGGGAGGTGAGTGGGTGGTGAGGGAGGCGTGGTGTGGAGGGAGGTGTGAGGTGTGTGGGTGTGTGAGGTGGTGGTGGGTGGGAGGTGTGTGGTGGTGAGGGTGGGTGTGGGGAGGGTGGGAGTGGTGGTGATGAGGGGGAGGTATGTTGGTGGTGAGGGAGAAGGTGTGCAGTGAGGGGAGAAGGTAAAAGTAAATTAGGGGTCAAATGAGGTCAAGGGTTAAAGGTAAGAAGGGGTCAAAGGGAGGGCCAAAGAAACCATGGGTCAGTCAGAAAACCAAAATGTGGGTTAAAGATGGCCCACAGCAGCCAAACACACACACACACACACACTCACACACACACTCACACACACACCGGCAGCGTCGCAGTATGGATTTTCCCAGACAAGTGGTGATGGTGGTAGCGGACAGCGTGTGGTGTTTGTTGAACTATGGGTCCATTATCACTTAGAGAAAACGCACCCGCTGTATAGAACCCATTATGAGGTGTGTGTGTGTGTGTGTGTGTGTGTGTGTGTGTGTGTGTGTGTGTGTGTGTGTGTGTGTGTGTGTGTGTGTGTGTGTGTGTGTGTGTGTGTGTGACTAATTCTTTTTTTTTAAATCACAGTAACTCCTCAGTATTAAGATCCAATTTCGATAGAGCTCCTGAGTGGATGTTGTTGTAGTCAAGATCTGGGACGGGGGGGGGTGTAGGAGGGGGAGTTAGTGACCTTGTGTGACCCTGTTCTAGAGACAACAACATACAACAAAGTTACCGTTTACGTTATAGACTGTTTGCTCTGTTGGCTATTAAAATACTCTGTTGTGCCGTTTCCGTTCGTTACCATGGTATACAGTCTACCCAAACACTTAGTATTAACAGGAACGGAGGTGATTGACTGTTAGACTGTACGTAAATAGAGTTATTGATGTGTTCGGGGTATAGAGGTGTGTTGACATGAGTGTGAGTCGTAACTGTGAGTGAATGAGGAAGTTGAAAGAGGTTGTGTGTGAAGGTGATCGTCTCGGGGTGAGGGAGGAGGGGTGAGTGTCGCCTCTACCTCACTCTTCCCTCGTGTGTGTCGTCCCCTTGTATGTGTTGTTGTTATTTACATGATGTTGATTTATATTTCAGTTATTTCAGTTTATACAGAAGTGAATTAGAAGGTGCCACAGAAACCCAAATATTGACTGTCAGATTTTCTCGTCGGGGGAAAATAATGTAGTGGTTGAGTGGACAATGTTGTGGCCATGAAGAACGCTCTGTGTTGTGTTAGTGGTGATGATGGATGCTGAGAGTGTTGGTGGTGCGGTAGAGTACACTTGGCTGCCGGTGCTCCAGCCACCAGCCCTCATAGTGACGTCAGCCGCTGCTCATGGCTGGTGACCCCCGTGACGTCACCTGGCCATGGGCAGCACCGTGTAAGGAGGGTTCCTCATGTTTTAGTTAGCGGTGCCACCCACCACAAACATGTCTCTGCTGGAGGCGGTCAAGTCGTGGACGCTGGGGCCGTGGGCCAAGCGTCGGGACAAGAAGCGTGTGAGTGTGGCGCTGTGGGGCGGTCGACCAGCAGAGTCTGACATGTGTTCTCACCTGCTGGGCACACCGGGTATATACCGCCGACGACTCTCCTCCCCGGGCGACGCCGACTTGTCCGACTTGTACTCGACCACCAGTACCCACTATGGTCGCAATAACCACCCCACGGCCACCTTCCTCTACGACTGCCCGCCCCTCAGTACTCACCCACCGTATGTACAAGACGGTGAGGAACCCTCCTACCTCCCCCTCCCCACCCTGAAGGTCTCCCCACCTGAGGAACAAGTACAAGACCCTGCAACAGACGAGGACTTCTACCATAACTTAGATAAAGACGATGAATATTTTGACGCGTCGTGTGAGGGTCAACTGCATCAGTCTGGTGGTAATGGTGACAGTCAGTGCCCAGGTGATGGTAGTGTTAGTGACAAGGAATCAGTGGCACCAGAGCTCAAGAATGGAAGACTCTCCTTAACATGGGTGCCAACCAGGGACCTAAGTGCCAAACTTGTTATACCTGACAGTGATGGTGATAGTTGTCATCCACCCAAGGAGCCAGTTGACGAGGACCTGGAGGCACTACAGTCCCCCACAGTGCCTGACTACAACATACTTATGTCCTGGGCGTCACAGCTACAATCATCCCAGACTCCCATAGTGCCGTGGCCTGACTCTCTCACCCCCCTGCTGGTGCCAGACCTTGAGGCACTGGAACCCCCAAGAACAAGCACACAGGCTGTACCACTGGCACCGTACAGACGGAGTGGGGAAATGAGCATAGGTGACGCACTGTGGGCGGAGGTGACGGCCGAGCTGAAGGATGTCTGGGACGAAATCGGCCTCATCGATGACTCTCCCACACAGAGCTTAGTGCCGAGTGCTTCCCCAGGTACCTGAGTGACCCCCTCCCCCCCTCTAGAGTGACCCTGCCAGTTGTCTCATCACCCTCTGTTATTTACACACTCACGCTGTCACTGCCTGCTGGTGACGAGAACTCTCCCACTGACTCCTAGGACTGCTAGCTAGTGCCGTGTGAGCCATACACTAACATTTCCTGCTTGTGTTTATAACCATGAGATGCCTTATTTATACCTGTTAGCACAGTACTAATATTAACTAGTGTGTTGAGTTAGTTAACGAGTGGTGTGGTGTGGTGTGGTGTGGTGTGGTGTGGTGTGGTGTGGTCACTGTGTCACACCTTTATCTTGCAGACGTCCACTAATGCCAGTAAGTGGAGCCACAGATCCACTTGAGCTGTGTGACTTCGCTGCCAGTATTTTTACACACTAACCTCCAACACTGTGGCGCCTTTAACACTCACACCAGTAGTGTCCTTGTAGCTGCAGCTTTATTGATCAACCAAATTGTAGTATTCTGATCAACCGAGATAGCTATTTGATCAAGGATGTCGTATTAAACCAATTCATCAAACCTTATCTCAGTGTTACCCTAAAGAGAATTCTATATATTATCATAAAACATAACTTCAAATTGGAGTATGATGTTGACATAGATGGAATTACGGGTTACGTTATTAAGAGGAGTGCATCAAAGCCCGCATTGTTTAGAGGAGTCCTCCCTTTGATGAGAGTCTAGTCGTTTTCTATGACGACAAAAAAAAACGGGGTTCCTAAGCATATGTGTTTATCTTCACGTTTAACTGAAGCTACCGGGCGTCTGTGAAGTTATTTTAGGGCCGTTTATCGTGTTATGTCTCCCTGTCTGTCTGTATGTATGTGTACTCAGCTTATCTTTTCATATAAGTCCCCTTCCATTCGTTATTATTTTGTACTTCTTCATTTATACATATGACTAACTAATTTTTTTGAAGTTTTTAGAAGTACAGTACTGAAGAAAGGTACCATAATATTGGAACTTTCACTCTGCCCATACCAGTGAGAAGTTCTTATACAGCGGCTATGAAAAGTTGGAATAGATTCAATAAAATCTGGGAAGTGTGGAATAAATAAGGTTTTATTTTTCATTTCGATTTGGCAGGGTAGAATTTGACGTCTTTTTTATTTATTTATTTATTTATTTATTTATTTATTTATTAATGAAAGGGATCCTACCGTATGATGTGTCAATGGAGAGTATTTCGTGGACGGTAATAGGATCCGATCTCAATATTATGTTTCAATAGGATTTTTATAAGTATTATTGAGACACCGAAAGCTGCTATATTATTGGAATCTTTTCCTTGCCCATACGAGTGAGATATTTATTTAGGGATTCTATTTACTGGAGGGTAATTGAATCTGACGCTGAATACATAGACGTTGAGAGAGAGATATAAATGCTATTGGATCCTCTGTGAAGGAACTGGTTACACGTGACGTCATCAAACTTCCGATCCGCCATATTGGAGTCTGGGATATTACCAGTTGAAAATATCCACCTAAGTAATATTTTCCAGTTATTATGTTAAAAATATGTCTCTCGCTTTCCCGTCATTTTTAACAACCCAAACGTGAGAGATGAAGATAAATGTTAAAACAAAAGCAACGTAGATTTACTCAGATTTAATTTATTTTGCAGTATTTATTAATGTTATTCTGGTATTATTTGTGTATATAATATAAGTTATTCTACAGTATTAATGTTATCTTGGTATTACCTGTATGTATAATTGCTAATATAACCCGTAAGTAGATTACATAATTACGTGTTAATTGATTTTTTTACGTGTTAATTGAAGCTTAAATGATGTACCTGTAGTGGAAGCTTGAGACCACCTGAAGCTTAGATCCCCAGCTTGGCAATATGAATAAACACCCTAATGTTATTTGGTAGGTTAGGTTAGGGTGGTTAATCTTCAGGTGATTTAATTGAAAGTTTTTTTTTGTGTACTGAGATCAGTGTGTGTGTGTGTGTGTGTGTGTGTGTGTGTGTGTGTGTGTGTGTGTGTGTGTGTGTGTGTGTGTGTGTGTGCCTGATACACACACAACGACATCCTGCACACACACACACACACACGCACACACACACCTTATCCTTGGAGGATTTTGCAGTTAGGGTTGGGGTGAGGGGTGGAGGAGGGTGAGGACATATCGATGCCCTAGACACGCTGGATGGCTCCTAGGACATGCTGGGTGGCCCTAGGATATACAGGCGGCTCCTAGGACATGCTTGGTAGCTCCTAGGATATAAGAAAGGCCTTTGTGACATGTGCTGCAGCTCCTAGGATATACAGGGCGGCCTTTAGGACATGCTGGGTGGCCCAGGACACTGCTGCTCCTTTAGGACATGCTGCGGCTCCTAGGACATGCTGGGTGGCTCTAGGACATACTATTTGGCTCCGTGATATACAGGGCGGCTCGACATGCCAGGTCTTTAGGATATACAGGGCTGCTCCTAGGACATAATGTTTGGCTCCTAGGACATACTATTTGGCTCCTAGGACATGCTGGGTGGCTCCTAGGACATACTGGGTGGCTCCTAGGACACGCTGGGTGGCTCCTAGGACATGCTGGGTGGCTCCTAGGACATGCTGGGCGGCTCCTAGGACACGCTGGGTGGCTCCTAGGCTCCGACCACACACTTCAGGGTTACATACAACTTTTCTTATAAATGCCAACAACGAGTCGAGTTTTTCTCTTCAATTGTGGCGAAACTTTTGGGGCCGCTGTCGTAAAATATTTATATTAACCTAAAAAAAACGGGAGTCGCTCTTACCATAGAAAACGGGAGTCGCTCTTACCATAGAAAACGGGAGTCACTCTTACCATAGAAAACGGGAGTCACTCTTACCATAGAAAACGGGAGTCGCTCTTACCATAGAAAACGGGAGTCACTCTTACCATAGAAAACGGGAGTCAGGATAATACTTGTTTAGAGGCTCCACAGAAAACGGGACTGAGAACACACAGAAAATAGGAATCATGACACTTAGAAAACGGGAATCAGAACACACAGAAAGCGGGAATCAGAACACACACAAAACGGGAATCAGGACGTACAGAAAACGGGCTATTTGTAGATTAGTGAATTATTTATTGATTCTAGTTAATATTTAAAGGTAAAGTGTACTTGATTTGCTGACACACACACACACACACACACACACACTACATCCTTGACCACCGAAGGGTCAAGACGTACCTGGCGCTCCTTTCGGAGCAGCCAGGTCAACTGTTATGTTGGCCCATACCAACTCCCTCCCCTGAACCCTCCTCCCCACCGGAATATCAACAAGTTCTCGCCAGAAGTTACAATTTCATTTAGGAAAGGAATGGAACCAGTGTTAAACAGAGGTGAACAGTGGTGAACAGTGCTTAAGTCAGTGAGAACAACTCAACAGTAACAGTCGTACCCAAGTTAACCTTCACACAGTGAGGTCCCAGGTACCCAGTGATAACGGCCAGTGAGACCCAACAACAACCAGTGATGTGTTAATCCGTCTACGATAAGAAGGCCTAAGACCAAACCTCACTCATATAACACCATCTGTGAGGGAATTACTACACCACATGTCCCTCATAACACCATATGTGAGGGAATTACTACACCACGTCAAGTCCCTCATCACACCATCTGTGAGGAAATTACTACACCACGTCAGGCCCCTCATAACACCATCTGTGAGGGAATTACTACACCACGTGATGCCCCTCATAACACCATCTGTGAGGGAATTACTACACCACGTGAGGGCCCTCATAACACCATCAGCGAGGGAATTACTACACCACGCCAGGTCCCTCATAACAACATCTGAGGGAACTACTACACCACGTGAGGCCCCCTCATATAACACCATCTGTGAGGGAATCACACCACGAGGCCCCCTATAACACCATCTGTGAGGGAACTACATCACGGAGGCCCCTCATCACACCATCTGTGAGGGAATTACTACACCACGTGAGGACCCTCATAACACCATCTGTGAAGGAATTACTACACCACGTGAGACCCCTCATAACACCATCTGTGAGGTAATTACACCACGTGAGGTCCCTCATAACACCATCTGTGAGGGAATTACCACACCACGTCAGGTCCCTAATAACACCATCTGTGAGGGAATTACTACACCACGTGAGGACCCTCATAACACCATCTGTGAAGGAATTACTACACCACGTGAGGCCCCCTCATAACACCATCTGTGAGGGAATTACTACACCACGTCAGGTCCCTCATAACACCATCTGTGAGGTAATTACTACACCACGTGGTCCCTCATAACACCATCTGCGAGGGAATTACTACACCACGTCAGGTCTCTCATAACACCATCTGAGGGAACCACTACATCACGTGAGGTCCCTCCTAACACCATCTGTGAGGGAATTCATTGTTCACGTGAGGCCCCTCATAACACCATTCAGAGGAACTACTACACACGAGGCCCCCTTACACCATCTGTAGAGAACTACACCACGTGAGGCCCCCTTATAACACCATCTGTGAGGGAACTACTCCACGTGAGGCTCCCCTCATCACACCACATCTGTGAGGGAATTACTGCACCATGTGAGGCCCTCAACACCATTCAGAGGGAGTTACTTACACCACGAGGCCCCTCATCACAATATCTGTGAGGGAATGACTACACCACGTGAGTTCCTCCTAACACCATCTGTGAGGGAGTTACTACACCGTGAGTTCTCCTAACACCATCTGGGAGGATTGCTACACCACGTGTTTGCTGTTCAACACCTACATTAATCTGTATGTTCACTGTATGTTCCTTTACCTTTCTCTAATGAAGGCTTTTGTTAAACCACCAATGTATGTAATAAGTCATTTATGTCCAATGTATATTTTCAGCCTTCGGGCTGCAGAACTTTTTCAATAAACCGTCAATTATTATTATTATTATTATTATTATTAACACACACAGACGAGAGAGTAATGACATCTTCCACACAGTGATTACCTCCC